GTGCTCTCACCACCACCACTGCCAAGCCTTTTTAAGCTCTTCTCCCCTCGGCTCCTTCCACCATCTCTACAGGACAAAATCAGCTTGCGTGGCAGAAGTCCTCCATTCTCCAAGAAAAGCTGAACTCCAGAGTCCCTTGTGTGGAGACACTGCACCAGCCTGATGCTGCTTCCTTCCCCCCCCCCCCCCCCGGGTTTCTACCAGCATTCCAGTATTCCATTGCCTGCTCCTTCCCCTGCAGGGACTGGGTATCTCCAAGCAACATCACTGCTCAGGGCTGCCACCCTCAGGTCTTTGCACCACCTTCCCCCTTCCACTAAGCCTTTACACAGCTTATTAAAAAACAGCTTCTATTCTCTCCAACTCTCCTCTGTGGCTTCTTGTCTGAGAAGATCAGAAGCTGTCAACACTCACTGTCACTAGGACAGGGCTCGATTTTTCTTCAGCTTAGATTTGAACCAGAGCCATTTCCCTGCAACAAGCACAAGCTGAAGGAAATGGCACTAGCACTCGACCACAGCAGAGCTCTGCACCTTATCTGAAAAGAGCCTCTCAATCCCTGTTTATTCCCTCAGGCCAGCCCAGAGGTAGAGTTACTTTCTGGCATTTAACAGCAAGTCGAATTCCCTTAGAAGATAACATCAGGTCAGCAGGGAGAGGAGACTGACAAGTGTTGGTATTCAGGACCTATTCTCCAGAAGTGCCCTTTCAGGCCTTTTTCCGGCACAACTTTACCTTAGGAGGTAGTTCTGCACACTGTGAGAGGCTCAGGAATGCCAGATCCCTGGCCTTGAAGCATGCTGGAATGATGGATTCAACTGCTCCAAGTATAAAAGGAACAGGAGAGACTCACACGCACTATTATATTTTGGTCTCACAAACTTGCTCCCACCGTTCTATTCATTTCTCCAGCTCAGTTGGCTTGGTTGCAAACTTGCGATCTCCTCCTCTGCTGAGTCCCTTCCCCTGCTGCCTCTGCAGTTCCGGGGGGGAACACACTCTCCCCACTCTAGGGGGGCCATGCTGCTTTTCCTTTTCCTTACCGTACTGCACCAGAGACGAGGTCTGCGTGGTGGATCCCATGTCCCAGGAAGCAGCAGTGGTGCTCCCAGCAGGCTGGGTGTGCTGAGCTGCCAGCTGAGCCAACGCCTGGGCTGTCTTGAACTGCTCCAGAAACTGAGACCCTGTGGTACTGCTGCCTTTGGCCTCCCCGACATCTCCAAACCCCTTCCCCAGCATGCTCACCTGCAATTTCAGCAAGGAGATAACAAAGTCAACATCTCCCATGGCTTGGAACTTGGCTCAGAGGACAGGTACATCTCTGAATGCACTGTACCCTGCTGCTTCTCACTGGGTGCCTCAGCTTAACACTCCTGAGCTCCAAATGCACACACACTGCTGGCAGAGAGGGCTCATGCTTCTCTCCCAGCCTTCCATCATGTGTGAGTGCAGGCATGATCATCTCTCACCCAACTCATAGCATGGTACAGCCATAGAGGGTTACAAAGAAAGCTAACAGACAGAATCTTAAAAATGTACTCAATTATTCTCATGCATTCAGTTGCACTAAAAAAGAAACACCTGGAGATCTTGGCTCTATGTTAAGGTGGTTTTGAAAATCCTTCCTCAACTACCTCACCAGTAAGTGCACAATTTTTATTTCTTTTTGCTTAAGTTACACAAAGCAACATCTGCCCAGGTCCCTGCACATCTCTGACTCTGACTCAATGCCTCCTTCCCTCTCCTGCCAGTAGATGCCACCATTCCACCCCCCAGTTCCATCCAACACCAGTTCCCAACCACTTCCACTTCTCAAATTGTTGAAATTGCAAGCCCTGGACTGTAAGAGTTTTTCCTTTCCTCTGAGCAGGAAAGAAGCATGTGTTGCAAATCAGACAAGGGCAACAGGGGGGGAATTATCCCAATTATTTCAAGTTGAGCAATGAACTGCAGGCCTCTGCATTTGAAGCTGACTGGCAAATTATCTGGCTCTGCCAGTCCCAAGCAGCAAGCAGGTGTCAGGACTGCATTTCCCACATTACCCAAACAGACAGAGAATGTCAGGGAATGAGCAACCCCCATCAAATCTCCGCTGGCAGAGACCAGCATTTCCTTACCATGCTGTGGTGAGAGAAGGAGTTTCCAGAGGCAGGCTGGGACAGAGCAGTCTGCTTGGAATTGCTGAACACCAGTGGCTGGGCCAGAGAAGGAGTCTGGGATGACTCCAGGTTCGTTGACTCGTTCTCCATAGAAGATGGTGTCTTTCCTAGCAGGACTGCAAGATCGATCCTGCGAAGAGAAAGAGGATAAATCAATAAGGTTACCATGAGCTTCAGCTTCCATTACAGCAGAATTCCCCCTCCAGCCTCACACCTTTAACTTCACAAATTGAAGGAATCTTCAGAACATTAACTCAAAACTGCCAGTAGCAACCTCAAAAGGAGAGAGGGAGATCAAGCAAGACCCTGCATAGCCTTTGATTTTAAACCGTGTTTTTCATTCATTTAACACAGCAAAATGCCCCCAAACCTGAAGAACCAGCAGCAGAGCCTAGGAAAACTCTATTCCAAGATTAGGACCCAGAAATTACTAACTCAACTTCTCCATTTAAATCCACCTCATCTTGTTCAGAGCTGCTGCATTTTAGCTAGCTGGCAAGGTTTAGTCAAAGAAGGGAAATTTCTCCAGGACTTCTGTGCCACTTTTCCCAGGTAAACGGCATCCCCATGGGCACTCACCTTTGTCCAGCTGTGATTGTCACATTCTCAGCAGGCAGAGGCACTGAAGACACATTGGAGGCAGTGAAGATCTTTGTCTCTGATAGCTGAAAGATAAAAAAGGGAAAAAGAATTCAAAAGTGAGAACAGTGCCTTGGAACAGTGCCTGTGACATAAAGCACAGGAATGTTTGAAACAAAAGGCCAGAGAAAAACCTCAAGAAATTCAAGTGTTTAGACTTAAACTTCTTTAGCATTTGCTTCCCATCAGAATCAGCTTTTATTTGTTTTTTCTCGGTGCACAAATCACCTGCCAGTGAAAAAAAAACCCTAAAATACTTCCACAAATTTCCCACAGTCCACAAACCCACTGGGGCTCCTGGGGCCCTGGGCTGGTGCTCCGAGTCGATGGCACGCAGCGAGGATCTGCCAAACTCCCTGCACAGATAGGTGCAAGCACTGGTACAGAAGCCAAAGGAAGAAACTTTGGACCCCCACTTAAGCTTCCAATGATCCAGGCTCACTTGGATGATCTGACCAACAGATCTACTTCAACTATGGAAGGGAAAATAACATTGCTCAAGAATGGGTGAAGAGGAAGGCTAGTGACCACCTGTGATTTAGCCTGGAACATATCTGAACATGAACAGCTTCTATTCCAGGCTGAGGAACCACCAGAAACTAAAGCGCCAGAGTTAAAAAACTAAACCCGGAACCCCTGGGGGCATCTCATACACACTGAAGGCAAGAGGGGCTCTCAAAGGCTCCCTTCTAGCAGAGACCTGACTGAACAAAGAGAAACCGCTCCTGTCTCCAAACACAGCAGGAGCACTTCCCTCAGAGAGTGCCTAGAAAGCAAACGCTTCCCCTCCTTGCCCAGTCTGTTGGCTGAGCCAAAATGAGCATGCAAAAGTAACAATCATACTAAAAAAGCTCAACCCTGCTCCCATCTGCAATAACAGAAGTCCTCCCTTGATTTGGAGAGGGACTGAAGCCCACTTCAGAAGAAACTGATATAGAGGCATTAAAAGCTGGTGCTGACAGCATCCATTCTCCCCTGAAGGAGACATCAAGTAGAGAATGAAAGGCGGCAAGGCATGCCAAAGAGCAAGTCAGAAAGTCAAAAGCTTCTGTTCCATCCAAGTCACAAGGACAAGCAGAGGCACACGACATGCAGGAAACCACTGCTGCCTCCTCCATGGCACATGGTGAGATCAAAGGCAAACCTTCCCCAACTGCCACTCCACTGGAGGGACGGAGCAAGAGTCCTGCGTGGAGTCAGGCCAGTTTTTGGAAGAATTCCATCATACAGTTACAGGAAATGAGAGGACCACCCTCAAGGCCCTAGGAGATCCCTTTCTGTCCTGGGCTCCTATGACAAGCTCTACTACACATATCTTTTTGAAGCTGTGATAATTACTTATTCCTCATAGCTCCTGGAACTGGGAGCCTAACTAGGGTTCTGCCCATAGGCTGGGGGAGGATGAGCTTTGAGCTCCCCTAGAGCTCTGTGTACAGACAGGACAGCAGCCTGCTGGCAGATGCACGGAGGAGAAGGGTTTGGAGAGTACCTACATCTTCATTCCAGTCCTCCGTGCCCCATTCTTCTGTCGCTGCCCTCCACGCACCTACAAGGACAACAACAGGTACAGAAGTTATGCATTCATCAAAGCTCTGCCTCCAAGAGCTGGAGAAGCACTGGGGAGCTTTGCAGGTAGCCAGGAGGATTTCTATTTGCCAACCAAGCAGGTTAAAGCAGTAGACCCCAACCCATGCTTCCTGGGCAAGGTACCATGACAGGGCCACCTCTGCCTTGCTGCCCCAGGCTGAGCTGAAAGAGAGGGACTGCTGGGCTGGCAGATAGGGCAACACACACCTCCCAACACCCAACAGGGGAGCTGAGCTTAGCAAGGAAGCTCCAGCACCATCCCCAGTCTCCTTGTGCCATTTTCCTGACTTCCCCTTGTACTGCAGTAGCTACAGCTTTGTGCACCTGGGAGCAGTCAGTGTTACCCCAGCAGCTTGGACAGAGCACCTCCCTCACAAGTTTCCTGCCAGCTCTGGCACAGGATCTCACCACCCAGGTAAACCTTACCTTCCTATAAAACCTAGGGACAACTGAGCATTCCTGTGATTCATCTTCTCTCCCTAGCCAAAAAAAAGTCTTGAAGCCTCAGTGCACCAGGACCTCCTGTGCACATGCAAATGGGATTCAGAAGGGAAAATCTGAGGGACTAAGCAATTCCTGCATTTTCTGTGACCAGCTGCAGAGATATGCTCAAAGCACTGGGGAGAAAAGCTGGAGACCTCAGCCACAATCCACAGCACAGTTTAAGCAAGTAAGATTTACCAGAAAATAAAAAGAGTTTTCCCTGACTGCATCTTCAACTTGTTCTGACCCTCGCTTCCATCATAGAGTTTAACCTCTGTACTTCAAACATTATGTGGCAACTTCTGAATCCATTTAACAACTGAAATTTGGTTTGGGAGGAGAGCAGGAGATTTCACATCTGCAAAAACCTCAGAGCATAAAGCCAGCCCTGTTTTGCACAGCTGGTTTCCAGTCCACGCAAACCAGATCAACAAAACATGACAGGGCCAACAGGGTTAATCTTGGAGACACTTACAGGGACGGAACAAGTTGGCATCAGCCTTTTTATAGGCTGAAAGCCTTTTAGAGCATAAAACATAGCATGCGGGGAAGACCATTGTGGATTCTTCTGCAGGACACACTTTAACTGCGTATTTAAATGACTGCCTGTCTAGAAGTGGGGAATTTAGTGCAAGAAATAAGTATTTATCAGTGAATTATTATTTTTTCATTTTTGTTTTGTTTTGCTTGACAAGTTGAGCCAATTCAAGAAGCCTTCCAGGATTTATTTTCTTTCATATTGAAGTTTGAAATAAAGATACTAATAAAACACGACTTCCCAGAGTGCCAAGAATCTCAGGGCACGCTAGTCTACCCCTTCCTTCCCAGCCAGAAGCATCAGGAGTTCAACACAGTCAATGCAAAACACATCTGGGGTTTAAAAACCCAGATTCCCCCATTTCTCAGATTTTCTGTGCCCTCCTGCTACAGCAGTAGCAGGAAGGTTGCTGTCCAGATTTTAATGGATAAGAAAGATCCTTCCAGCTCAAACCTTACCCAAGAGGTGGAACAGGGAGCTGCATGTACCTGCAGGTAGCCAACAGAGCAGGAAGCCAATAGAGTTGCACCAAGAAGATTTTGTGCATGCAGGAGCACAGCATAGGGCTCTTAAGTATTGCTTGTTTGGGGAAACTGAGAAGAAAAGAAAAGCAACACAAAAAGTAGAAGGAAACCCTGCAGATGAAGAGCAGCCATTGACGGGGCTTTCCCGGCAAGTCTACTCCAGTATTGGGCACCAACTCAGCACAGCTTGTGCTCCCTGCATACAAAGGGGTAGATAGAAAAACAAAGAACTGCCATGTACAACCAGGCATTGACCAGGAATGCTCCAGAAAGCACCCAGCCAGCACAGAGTGGGAAGTTTTTTTTTAAAGAAACCAAGCGTATTGCTCTCCATCGAGCTCTTCCAAAGGGGAGAACTGCAACACAAGCAATACTCTGACCCTTCTAACACCATTTCAGAAAGGTTGTCTTCTGAACAGCGAGCCCTCCTCTCTGCTTTCAGAAAGCCCTTCAAAGAGCTGCTGGTCTTTAAGGTCCTCAAACCAGGAAGAGAGGAAAAAATACAATTAAGCCAACAACATGTGCCAATATGATTGCGGTGAAGGAAAAAAATCCCATTGTGTCTCCAAGATGTCCACATCCCTCCTCAAACACAGTCTCTTCATTTTAAACTGGGAGATGAGCATCTAGCTTGCTCCTCCCACAGCCCATCAGGCAGTCTGCTGCCTCTCAGGAACTGGATACAGGCCTGTTGCCTCAGCCTGGAAGGGCAACAGACCCAAAGGCCCCCAGTCTGCACCTCAGAGGAATGTAAATCCAAACAAAGCCAAAGGGCAGCAAAACCACAATGGTAGCTCTGGAGCAGATGGCCTTGTGCTGCCCGTGGAAGTTAAAGATTAATCCTGAGGTGAGAACCAAGAGACACTGTCTGCCTGCCAGTTGGGCCCCTGCTAAAGAGACTCCTCAGCCTCAACACTCCTCCTCCTGCCCTGACCTTCAAGAGTTAAGTGGCAAACTCCTCTGGAAGGTTCCTTAGTCTCAAGACCTCAGGTTAGATAGAGGAGACAGTCAAACATGATGTTGGCCTTGTTATGGACACCAATGGGATTCAGCAAACTGGATCATCTCATGGGTGTCTCTTGGCTTCATAAGGCATAAAGGTGCAAGAACAGAAAATAAAGTGGCCAGGCACTGAGTAGCTTTAACATCAAGCATCCCTGTCACCTCAAAATCCACCATCATCTTCAACTGCAGGGAGGCGAGGAGAAGCAGCTGGGCAGCAGGAACATGCCAGAGCAGCCACTGGGCACTGCTCACCCAGCGGTGGCTGTGAGCAGAAGCAAAGCACGGAGAGAGTTTAACCGGACCCATTCTGCTTGCAGCAGCTGTGGCCCTGAGCAGGAACAGCAGGGAGGCTGCAGGAATGGCACGGGGGCGACAGCAAGTCACAGCTTTTCAGGATGCAAGACAAAGGGAATAACAGGTGAGCTGCCTCAAGCCTCCTGCCCTCGGGTGGGATGCTCTGTCACCAGCACTGTGGACACGGAGCTGCTCTGGGCACCAAGAAGCAGTGGCTGAAGCTAAAATTTGGAGTTGGGGTTAGCCTCTCCCAATTTATATTCAAGGTGTCAGCATTAGTAAAAGCACAGTCAGAACAAATGTCAAGTATTCATTAAAATGAACAAACTGAGAGAGAGAATTACATATCCACAGATATTTCAGGGTTTTTTAAAAAAGCTGTAAAGTAAAGGTATCCGGGGCAGTTAGTGCACCTGGATGTATCGTACCAGGAGCAGTGTCAAATTTTCGGGGATAATTTGACCCCTCACCCCCAATGAAATCAAGTCCTGAAACAAAACAAAAAGAAAAGAAAGACAACCAGTGAAATTTTGACTTAAAGAAGTGAAGGTGAGTTTCATTGCCCCCACATACACCAGTCACATCGTACCTGTGGATATTGTTAATTTAAAGAGATGCCTGTGGCTACTAAACTGGAAAAAAATGACCATGCACAACACAGGTGACCAGCGGTGTTGCACGATAAACTTTACAGTTGCTTTGCAGTACTAGAGCAAATTCAACTTGTTCTGTCAGAAAAATCTTCAATTCCCCCCAACCACACTCTAATCCACTTTGTTCCACAATTCCACAAAACACCAACACAGAAAAAAAGAAAACCATCCACACAGAAGCCTGTTCCCACTAGTCAGTTAAACTTCCAGCATATAGAGCTTGTCCACTCCCATCCCTTTTCCTGCGGAGCCAAGTGCACCCACTGCCCCCAACACATGCCCACACTATTCCCTCCAGTATTTAAAGCCCTTTTTCAACTGCCAAGATGATCACTCAATCTGCTCGTGTTTTACAAAAAACAGGCTTATTTTTTCCCCCTTCCACAGCTCTCTGTTTTGTGAAAAAAATCCAAACAAACAAAAAAACAAAACCCACCAAAATACACACAAACAAGCTCCCACCCCCTCCCCGACACTAACAATGCTCAGTAAAAGGTATCCGAGTTTACAGGACTTTAATTCTCTCCTTCCAAAGCTATCAGTCTTTCAGCTAATGCGAGCAATATTGAGGTGGCCAAAAGCACCATCAACACGGGTGTGAACGCTTCTTACACCCAAGTATGTGGTATTTACTTGAATACTCAGAAATTGTGGAAAAACAGTTTGACTTCACAGTGGTGCAAGATTGCTCCATAAAAAAGCCAACCAAACCACTCTGAAACTCACTCCACAAACAGGCTACTTATGGTCAAGGACTGTCCCCTGCAACTGCCCCATTCTCACACTGCACAATCTGAGTTTGCTGTATCTCACGATACTGTGTGTGTGTGAAACAAATCCCAGGGCACCAGTTTTCCAATGCAGGAGAACGTGCAGGGGCAGCTGGGTGTTCAGAACCGTCCACCGAACACATGCTGGCTTCAAAAACGGAAGGAGGTCAGATTCCTTTCATCTTGTTTCTGTAACAAAGTCTCGCCCCACCGCAGTTTGAGCAAGATGACCATG